AGCATCAGAACAGTTATTGCATTCTTCAGGAAGGTACTGGATCCTCAAGATGGATGGAAAGCCTTGGGCTTCTTTCTCAAAGCGGCATGAACTTGGGGGTTGCAGACCTGTGTTGGAATCCTACAGAAGCGTTAATATTGAACCATTGGTAAGTTACCAGAATCTTCTCTCGTCCGCAAAAAGGGGGATGATACACACAATATCCTAGAGCAGAGTGTGATTACAAATTGCACCTGCAATGGTTAGCAAGTGTTAGCCGGCTCGCTAACATACTGGGTTGCCCGAGAGCAGTAAGTATCTTCCATTCACAGAATCCACCCACAGAAGTGACTCGCATAGGTAACTGGCACTGAGCCAACCACCTGCCAACTCTATCACCCTTGGGCACTTCCAAGAGTGTTTTAAGAGTTTAAAAACTACCATGTGAAAGAAAACAATGATATTTCATAAGCCTTGCTATCATTTTTCTACTTTTAAAACTGTTTACTTCTCTTCAAAGGCCCCCTAGGACCGTGGTCGGCAAACCGCGGCTCGCGAGCCACATGCGGCTCTTTGGCCCCTTAAGTGTGGCTCTTCCACAAAATACCACGTGCGAGCACGCACGTACAGTGCAATTGAAACTTCGTGGCCCATGCGCAGAAGTCGGTATTTTGTGGAAGAGCAGGTATTTTGTGGAAGAGCCACACTCAAGGAGCCAAAGAGCCGCATGTGGCTCGCGAGCCGAGGTTTGCCAACCACTGCTAGGAGATCCAAAACATGTTTTTTTAATACAGGCCTATGAGTGGTTTGAAATGGTGCCTTGGCTCAGGGGTGGGGACTTACAGCTGGGCTTTCAGACCGAGTCCTGGTTTCCCGGAAGAGTTTTGGCATTATTGGAGTGTCGGAGCCATCTCCATCTTCCTCATCGCCATCTCCATCACCCGTCAGATCCTTTATAAATGAAACATGTGCTTCAGGATATCATGAACAGGTTATAAAACCAAAATAGTAACTTAAAAATGAATAGTCAATCATATTAAAATCCACAATCTTAATGTTGGGCCAAGAGACCTAAAAATATTTTCAACTACCTAATTTGGTTCCAAACAAATTTTACAACGGCTCAAACCATAGGATCATGAATTCAAGACATGATTGAAAGATAAAACCCCAGTGGAATCAGAAAACCAAAGAAATTGTGTGACGTCAATATACATCATGAAGACTTCTTGGTCTACGCCTTAGCCTAATTTGGCTATCCTTAGCAGGGAGACCTGACCCAAGGCTCAACTGTGTGGCCTTCAGTATGTCCATTCCCGTCTTTAAAACTGGCATAACAGCCTGGGTGGTGTGGCTCACTTGGTTGGAGTGTCGTCCCATACAGTGAAAGGCTGCTGGTTCAATTCCCAGTCAGGGTACATCCCTCATTTGGGATGTGTATGGGGAGGCAACTGATCAATGTTTCTTTCATACATTGATGTTTATCTTTCTCTTTCTCTGTCTCTGTCTCTCTCTCCAGTAAAAACGTACCTTCAGGTGAGGATAAAATAAAATAAAATTGGAGCAATAGTACTTACTTCCCTTATAAAACAACAGGGTTATAGCACATTTCACCCAAGGCCAGCACTGAGAAATTTCTCAGGCAGGAGACTTCATTACTATTACTGGTAACTATCTGCCACCCAGCACACTGTCCCCATCAGCTGGGTGCCCACCAGAATAGAAGCTGTAATAAAGGGCGAGCTTCCATTTGTCCCCTTTTATCATGACTTTGTCCCTTATGCCTGACACTGGTTCTTTGAAAAAAGTTAACCAAGTTGACAAAACTCTAAGGGAATTAACAAGACAGAAGGCACAAATAATGTCAGGAAAAACTGTAACTTGGAAAAAAACTGATCAAGTAGAAACTCTGATATTGCAATGACTGCGAAAAAATTCCCTAGAATAAGCCAGGTGAGTTATTTCCAATGTGCATCAAAACCAGACACAGATACATTATGAGAAATAAAATCTGTCTAATTCATGTGTAGATGCGAAAGTGTAAACCAAATTCAAAACATAATGTGCACAAGTTAAAATTGAACTCATTCCAGGAATAAAAGGACATTTTGCTACATTAGGAATGTATCAATTTAACTAACTGATTATCCAGATTGAGAAAAAAGTAATTTCAAAAATTATGCAGGAGCCCTAACCAGTTTGGCTCCATGGATAGAGCGTCGGCCTGCGGACTCAAGGGTCCCAGGTTCGATTCCGGTCAAGGGCATGTACCTTGGTTGCAGGCACATCCCCAGTGGGGAGTGTGCAGGAGGCAGCTGATCAATGTTTCTCTCTCACCGATGTTTCTAACTCTCTATCCCTCTCCCTTCCTCTCTGTAAAAAAAAATCAATAAAATATATTTTTCTTTAAAAAAATTATGCAGGAAGCAGCTAGTAAAAGACTTCATAATTTAGTAAAATAAAGATTTATGATTTTTTAAAAAAACTTGGCATACAACGGCAGCACATGACATGCTAAGTGTGAGGTTGTTCAAAGTACTGTGTGCCTAGCAGTCCTCAGATTCATCATTCAACAAATATTTATGAGGCACCCATTTAGGTGGACCTTGTGGACCCCATTTCATGAAAGCTAAAGGGAATAACCCTGAATCCTGAAAGAGGCAGAGGAGAGCCCATACCTGAGTATAACTTAGCAGGCTGGAGACCTCTCTCTTGGACAGTCGTGAGCTTGATCTGCGGCCTGTGGAGGAAAGAGAAACGCAGTCTGTGTTTTGTGGAAGGGGCAGCACGGGCCAGGCACTTTATAAGATCCAAACAAAACTAGAGGTTCTCATGAGAGAAGGCATCAAAGTCCTTCCAGAACTGTGCTGCCCAATTCAGTGGCACTAACTACACTTAAATGAACAATCCAGTGCCTCCCACATCGGCCACATTTTAAGTGCTCACATGTGGCTACTGGCTATTGTAGTGAACAGTACAGAAACAGAACACTTTCACCTTTGCAAAGCTCTATCAGACAGTACAGTGTGAGGCGCTGTCAATAACAGGATGGGGCAGTACAGGATTTTCTTAACCATCTGGGTTAGACAAGCTCAGTGAGGTGGATCCCAGGTCATGTGACCTGGGGAACTGCTGAGGCAAGGAAGGTAAGCCTCAGCCCCCTCCAACCTGAGTGATTTTCTTCCCAGTCAGTCCAGATGCCAGGGAACAGGGTCCCAGAAGAGCCAAAGACCCTAGCCTATGCTGCAACCGCCCCCATGGTGACTGGGGAAAAACAAAACAAAACAGGGATGTCACCTCCTCAAAGTCTCAGCTGAGGTGAGGAGAGGAAGGAGGCCGAGGGCTGTGGCAGGGATGATAAATGGGCCTGGCTCTGCCTATATCCTCCTCTTCCCTTCCCTGGCAGGTAGTCGGGGACCAGACCCTCTCCCCACAATCTGCCTGCAGCCTGGAGGCTCACGTCCCAGCTGCGGTCCAGTGTCTGTGCCACCCCACCTCCCCACAGGCCCTGCCACCTCTGATCTCCGGGGTGCTGATGGCCTCCAAGATCGGGGGTGACGGCGCGTCCTTGGAGTCAGAAGACTGGTTGCTGCAGTCCCCATTGGTGATGATGGAGTCTTCCCTCCCGCTGGCATCCTCCTCTCTGCTGAGTGGCCTGGTGTCTCCCTTCATTGTTTCCTGTGAGAGGGTCAGAATGGATAGGGTAGCAGTGAAGCAAGGGCTAGAGGGGCAGCGTACCCGCAAACTTCCCACCTATGGTTCTATGCCCTCAGGCCAAGAGAAACCCTAAGACATAGGCTCAGGGTGATACTCCTTTCCCAAGGACCCCACCCAGACTGCCCCCATAGTCTGCCCCCCTCACCAAACTCGGAGGCTCAGGACTTGGTTCCATGTGGCCAGGCTGCCCGAAGGCTCAGACGCCAGCACCCAGGAGGCTGGGCCTTGGTCTGAGGCTCGGGCTGCTCTGTGCAATTAGCTGGCCACTTCAAACAATGCCATTTAGTAACCGCCTGCGCCTCAGCCTTGACTGCCGCTGGCCTTGGTCCCCTCTGCCCCTGGCCCCTTCTCCCTGCCCAGCTTCTGTGGGGCCTCAGGAAGCCAGTGCATTATTTTCCCTCCTGACCCCTTTGTTTGCTCTCTCCCTTCCCCTCAATCTCCAGGTCCTCTTCCTACCGCCCCCTCCTCCCCCACAGAACAGCTTCTCTCTTCTCCATGGCAGCACAAGCCCCGCCCCACCCCAACCTCAGGGACCCATTGGTCTGCTTGCCTGTCGCTCTCTCCTCTCCACCCTCACCAGCTGAGGCTGAGAGTCCCAAGTTCCCAAGAAGCGAAGGGATAAGAGGAAGCACAGGCAAAGGTCTGGGACAGTTAACAGGAGGCATGCCCCCAATCTGCTCCAGCCTTGCCCCACTCTGGGCCTTTGTCTTCCTACTGCTGCTCCTCCTGGTAAATGCACCATCACTTACGCAGCTAAGACCAGCTCAGACCAGGTCTTCACAGATGGGTTCAAGGGCAGTGACCTTCGACCTGGCCCACCACCTAACACATCTGTTGGCAATAAGAACCTGTACCTTTCATTTCAACCACCCTCCCAATGTCATTGTGGGCCCATTTTATAGAAGAGGAAAACAGACACACAGACCTTACTACTGTTAAGTCAAAAATCCCATCTAAGAAGTGGGGCCATTGCAAAATTAGAGCCTAAGTATAGGGTGAGGCCCTCAGACTGCTATTTTTTTTCTTTCTCTTTTTTTGTTTAAAATATTTTAATTTTATTTTTTTAAGAGAGAAATAGAAACATTAATTTGTTGTTCCAGTTATTTATGCATTAATTGCTTGAATCTTATATGTGCCATGACCAGGAATCAAACCCACAACCTTGGCTTATTTTTTTAAAATATATTTCTTTTTCTTTTTTTTTTTTTTTTTTTTTTTTTCCAGTCTGAGGCCCTCCCAAGCTGCTAGGAGGAAGGGAAGCGGTGAGGATATTGGGAAAGTAAGCACAGTGCTTAACTTGTGGCCCCATTTGTGCTCGAAGCAAAGGCTGAGACTGGACAGAAGACAGAAGCTTTGGTTCAGGTGTAAAGGAGGCCCTGGAGAAGAGGAGAGTCAGGATTTCCTGGAGCCAGTGCTGGAGTTGGCCTCATGGATTAGGGGGTTTCTTCTTGGCATCCATGTCCTTTTTAATTTCTTCAAGTTTTTTAGCCAGGTTTGGCATGTCATAATTTTGAGCCAGATACATTCCAACCAGGTTGCCAAAAGTAAATCCAACCCCATGAATCACAGAAGGACGCCTCAAGAAGTCGAATTAAAGAGTCACATTTATTGCAATCCGGGACTATGAGGGGCCATTCCCCAAATCTCATAGCCAATATATTTCTTTATTGATTTCAGAGAGGAAGGGAGAGGAGAGAGAGAGAGATAGAAACATCAATGATGAGAGAGAATCATTGATTGGCTGCCTTCTGCACACCCCCTACTGGGGATCGAGCCTGCAACCCAGGCATGTGCCCTTGGCCGGGATCAAACCTGGCGAGAGCAAACCTTGGCTTATTGGGAAGGCCTTCTAACCAACTGAGCTATCTAGCCAGGGGCAGACTCCTATTTCTTAGTTTCCCCAAAACAATTCCAAAAGTATTTGGTACCACACCTTCATGACGCAGTTACCACACCTTCATGCCGTGGAACCTGGCCTGGGAAAGCTTCCCCAGCAAATGGCTGCCTACAGACACTACGGACCCGGAGCCCTGTCTCAGGGACTTACCATGCAGTGACAGATTACACAGGAAGCCATATGACACGAAATGCAAGATGACTCACACTGGCATGCCGGGGTTCCTTCTAGAACTATCTAGTATACAGGGCTGCAGTGGTGACGCTGGTGTCGTACCCACTAGGGGGCGCTGTGGGGCTCAGTCTGAGGGGCCTATAGCACCCCCAGGCGGATTCCCACTGTCACTGGGCGGAGGGGGGAAGGGTATCCCCAGATTCCACCCTCTGCAACTGTCCATTCCCCAGGCATGGGTGTAGGGTAACTAGACCTCCACTATCCACATGGCCCAAGGACCAGTGCCCTTCGAATCACCTGGAGCCAGTTAGAACTGAAGAATCTCGGGCACCATCCCAGACCTACTAAATCAGGACAGACATTTTCACAAGCTCCATGGATGATTAATATGCAAGTTAAAGAGGCAATGTTCTGGCCCTAACCGGTATGGCTAAGTGGATAGAGAGTGGGCCCGAGGACTGAAGGGTCCCAGGTTCGATTCCAGTCAAGGGCACATACCTAGGTTGCAGGCTCAATCCCCAGCCCCATTCAGGGCATGTGTGGGAGGCAACCAATCTATGTGTCTCTCTTTCTGTCTCTCCCCCTACCTTCCACTTTCTCGAAAAATCAATGGGGGGAAAAAAAAGTCCTTCCACCCTCTCTAAAAATCAATTTAAAAAATCCTCAGGCAAGGCTTAACCAAAAAAAAAAACACCAAAAAACAACAGAGACACTGTTCTGGTTATAAATGTATATACTGATAGGGAGTACAATGTAATATTTACCCCCCTTGGTTCTAGGCTGTGCGGGTTCAGTTTCTCAACACATGTTAAGGAATCTCACCAGCCCCAGGGAAAGGAATTCCTGACCCTGCCTAATAGGCCGCCTCTCAGTACCTTTCACTCCCAAGTGCTGACCTGGAATTAGAACAGGCTACCTGACCTATGGCCAGTCCCGGCGAGATCAAGCAGACAGAATCCCAGGAAAACTGCTGGAGTGTGGGTCAAAGTAATAATTTCCTGCATTTCACTCCAGGCCAAACCAGGGAACGAAGTAACCTGGCAAAAGGTGGGAGGCTGGGCCATTGGGTGTAAGACACCAGGAGCTCTGTGGAGGGGTAGACATGGTTTCTAATCAGGAGCTGGTAGCAGATCATAAGCTGAATCAAAGTGCATGACTTCCCTCTCATCTGGGGGACCCAGAGTTCCCTCAGACAGCTCCTCACGGGGTCAACTGACTAGACAGGCCCAGGTGAGCTGTTGCCCAGGGCCAGCAATGATTAACCACCTCATGCTTCCCCCCAGGGCTCAGCACTGCCAATGTGTGCTGCAGGCCTGCCTGAGGGACTTGTGAGCAGAGCACCTTCCCAAAGCCAGATCTCCACCTTCAGGAAACATCTGCCCCTAGAACCAGATCCATGGGACCTGGAGGAAGATTCAGGGAAGAAAACCAACCCGCTACCTGAGTGCCCTGGGTGAGCTGGGCAGGTAAAAATGCTCTTTCCAGGTGCATAATTCAATGGGATTTCATAAAATATTCGCTCTCTGTAGTCTTCACCAGAGGGTTTTCGATAACATTAACTGCCCTGGCTGCCTTTCTGCCACAACCAGCACCCAGCCCATGCCCTCTCTCCCTGTCCACATTCTACCGAGACAGATAAAGCCAGCCTCCAGGTGTGTACTGCTGCCGTTCCCTCCGCCTTGAAGTCCTTCCATCTCCCTACCACCTGCCTCCTTATTACTCAGACTTCAGAAACCACATCTCAAAAGCCGGGAAGGATTCTCCCACAGGCCTTTGCTCCTCAAGTAAATATACAAATCCACTCACCTGATAACAGACTAACTTTTTCAGTGTTTACTAGATGCCAGGCATTCTTCTCTGCTTCACCTGTATTAATTCATTTAATTATTAAATGTGGTAAATACTATTATCCCTATTGTATAGATGAGCAAACTGAGACAGAGAGGTTAAGTAACATAAGACATACTTGATCAATGTGCCTTGAAGTGCAATCGTCCAGGGAAGTTAAATAAGAAAATACACGCCCTTGGCAACAGGAATAAATTAGCACCAGGGACGGGTGGGTAAGGACAGATATACATCTCCCTCACCTCATCCCATGTTATCTCAGTTTGGCTTCTAGTGATTCAAGGTTGGCATTTTCCGGATAATGTGTTCCCCCAACACAAGCCAACTGCTTTATCTAGTGTGATCGTTCCAGGGCTAGAGGAAAAATTGGCTGGGTTACCTCCTTGAAAGAGGTGGCACCTTCCTGAGATTTTTCCAGAATGGCTGGCATCCCAGCTTTCGAACGGCACCTCGTCACTCCACTGTTGTAGTCACAGCTCCCCAGTTCCTACTTAAGCTGAAGGCAGTACAAACATCTCTTATCCTGTCCCCCATCCTGAGGCAGTCCTGTTATCCATCTGCTCAACAGGCTCAGATTAATTAAGTCACTCAACAAAGTGGCAGCACCAAGACTCATGCCCAGGCAGTCCGGGGCACGTGCCTGTAACTGCTGTACAGGAAACAAGGCCACAGAGAATACATTATAAGGTTCTAACAATGCATCTTCCATCTCAGGGGCTATAGTTTTTTGGCTGAGGGACACGATATACCAACCGAGTGTTTAGCTTGACAGGAGGTGGTGATCTAACCTCCCGAGGCAGGGTGAACTCTGACCCTTTCCCAGAGGCTGAGGTCCAGCATGTGACTGAGGGGTGGGCAGCCGTGGGAGGTGGGCTCACCCTCAAGGTTCTTCCTGCAAGGCCCTGCCTCATTAGTGAACGGTGCTTGTGTTCCAACTGAACCAGGTCAGACGTGTCCAAATGCGATGTGGCAGACATAAGGATGAGTGGCACCGCCAATGAGACCCTGGGAGGAGGCCCAGGAACTCCCCCCAACCCTTCTGTAAAGCTGAGAAGTGATGTCATTCATGTCCTCCAGGCTGGCAACAGCACCTTGTAAATGTTAATTGAATTAAACTCACAATGCAGGAAGGGAGGTTGCAGGGTATTACTAGGAAGTGAGACTCTGAAATAAAAAGGGAGAGGTTGGAAGATATTCCCACCTCCCCTATTTTAAAAAATGCCTTCTCCACACCTATGGGAGGGGAATCTAGCCTTCTGAATCTCCCCTTGAAGGGCTCAGGTCTTTTTTAGCTGTCCCCACTGTCCAAGATTCCAAAAGAGCTTACCTCACCAAAAAAACAAGCTACTTCTGATTTTCCCACCTTACAGCTGAGTAAACTGAATCTCAGAGCAAGCAGATCAGCAGACCCCCTGCCCAGGATCACACAGCAACAAAGTGATGGAGATTTAGGCCTAATCCAAGGGACAGAACTTGAAAACATCTTTAAAACAATGTGGCAAATATAGTTATAAAGTTAAGCCCAGGGAAGAACACCACCCAGGTGCGTAGAGAACAGGGAGGCACCAGGCAGGGGGAGGCTAAGTACAAAGGCAAGGGGGCCAGAGAGCAGAACACAAGGTCCCAGTTCATTGCCTTTGCTTGATAAGGAAATAACCCCTAAATTCCAGAAGAGAACAGATTCACAGGAAAGCAAAAGCCCCCAATGTTTTTCTCAAACCCCAGTGTTATTATTATCTGTAAAATGAAGTGACCCGGCCTAATTAATTCCCTAGGTCCGTGGTCGGCAAACTGCGGCTCATGAGCCACATGCGGCTCTTTGGCCCCTTGAGTGTGGCTCTTCCACAAAATACCACGTGTGGGCGCGCATGTACAGTGCGATTGAAACTTCGTGGCCCATGCACAGAAGTCGGTATTTTGTGAAAGAGCCACACTCAAGGGGCCAAAGAGCCGCGTGTGGCTCGCGAGCCGCAGTTTGCCGACCACTGCCCTAGGTAATTGGTGCTAAGGATCCCAACGTAGGTGACAAAATCCTGAGACATGGAAATAACCCATTCCCTATGTCATCTTGCCAGACTTCCCAGCTATGCCTCACACAAAGTATCCCTTCATCCCTGATGACTCAGAAGGCATTTGAGAATTGCTCAGTGCCTCTAGGTCTTTATACAGTAAACACCGGACCTTGGAATATTTATCAGAATTATCAAAAGAATTGATCCCGCCCTAACCGGTTTGGCTCAGTGAATAGAGCGTCGGCCTGCAGACTGAAAGGTCCCAGGTTCGATTCCAGTCAAGGGCATATACCTTGGTTGCAGGCACATCCCCAGTAGGAGGTGTGCAGGAGGCAGCTGATCGATGTTTCTCTCTCATCGATTCTATCTCTCTATCCCTCTCCCTTCCTCTCTGCAAAAATCAATAAAATATATTTTTTTTTTAAAAAAGAATTGATCCCGCCTTAGCCAGTTTGGTTCAATGGATAGAGCATCAGCCTTCGGACTGAAGGGTTCCAGGTTCGATTCCAACTAAGGGCACAATGCCTGGGTTGTGGGCTCGATCACCAGTAGGGGGCATGCAGGAGGCAGCTGATCAATGATTCTCTCTCATCATTGATGTTTCTATCTCTCCCTTCCTCTCTGAAATCAATAAAAAAGAATTGATCCCAATAGGGGGTCAAATTGGACAAGTGCAAAATATTGGCTATGTGAAGATATTCCTTGCATTCTTGCTCATAATAGCAAAATACTAACAAGCACTTAGATTTTGTCAATGGGTTGGGATAAAATTATGTACCATTACTTCTTTTTTTTTGTAACCACAGATATAATATTTATTTACTTACTTACTTTTTCATGTATAGGGCATAATGTCACAGGAAGGCCATAGTATTCTGCCACCCGTGAGGAGTAAGCCCAAGTTGCTGTTGGATGTGTTGTACACAGAGAAGCCATTCTTCAGGCGTCTGCTCTCTCCACACCCAATGTACCATTACTTCTTAGGTAATTCATGGGAAAAATAAACTA